GTAATGTAGTCAAAACCCTGTTGGAACATAATATACCCAGGTTTGGACTGATAGAGCACATTGATTCGGACAGTGGGACCCACTTCACTGCACACATCATTGATGGGCAGACCCAAGCACTAGGAATAAAATGGGAACATCACACTCCCTGGTACCTGCCCTCATCAGGGACGGTAAACAGAATGAGTCAAACTCTATCACCTAGTCAGGCTGGGCCCAGTGGCTCACGCCTCTAATCCCAGCACTTTGGGAGGCCAAGGCAGGTGGATCACAAGGTCAAGAGTTTGAAACCAGCCTGGCCAACATGGTGAAAACCTGTCTCTACTAAAAATACAAAAATTAGCTGGGTGTGGTGGCACTTGCCTGTAGTCCCAGTTACTCGGGAGGCTGAGGCAGGAGAATCACTCAAACTGGGAGGTGGAGGTTGCAGTGAGCCGAGACCACACCACTGCACTCCAGCCTGGCGACAGAGAGAGACTGCATCTCAAAAAAAAAAAAAATCATCTAGCCAGATTAGTCTTGGAAACCCAGTTATCATGGACAAAATGCCTTCCCATTGCCTCACTAAGAATCCGAACTGCCCCTCAAAAAGATCTTGGCCTGTCCCCTTATGAAATGCTCTGTGGGCTGTCTGATCTAAATTCCACTACTGACCTTCCTACATGTGAAACAAAAGATCAGTTTCTCAAAAACTAATATTTGGTTTGTCTCCTACTGTTTCCGCTCTCAGGACTCAAGGCCTCCTAGCGCAAACTCCACCTCTCGAATTCCCAGTGCACCAGCACCAGTTTGGAGATCACGTCCTTATCAAAAGTTGGAAAGAGGGCAAGCTCTAACCAACCTGGGAGGGGCCTTACATCGTCTCCTTACCCCTGAAACAGCAATCCAAACAGCTGAAAAAGGATAGGCCCACCCCTTGGCCAAGCGCGGTGGCTTGCGCCTGTAATCCCAGTATTTTGGGAGGCTGAGGCGGGTGGATCATGAGGTCAAGGGATCGAGACTATCCTGGCCAACATGGTGAAACCCCATCTCTTCCAAAACAAAATTTAGCTGGGCCTGGTGGCACGTGCCTGTAATCCCAGCTACTCAGGAGGCTGAGGCAGGAGAATGGCTTGAACCCAAGAGGCGATTGTGCCACTGCAGTCCAGCCTGGCAACAGAGCGAGACTCCACCCCTCGAATTCTCAACACCAGCCTTGAGATCACATTCTTATCAAAAGTTAAAAGAGGGAAAGCTCGGCCTGGCGCAGTGGCTCACGCCTGTAATCCCAGCACTTTGGGAGGCCGAGGCATGTGGATCACGAGGTCAAGAGATCAAGACCATCCTGGTCAACAAGATGAAACCCCGTCTCTACTAAAAATACAAAAATTAGCTGGGCGTGGTGGTGCGCGCCTGTAGTCCCAGCTGCTCGGGAGGCTGAGGCAGGAGAATTGCTTGAACCCAGGAGGCGGAGGTTGCGGTGAGTCAAGATTGCGCCATTGCACTCCAGCCTGGGTAACAACAGCAAAACTCCGTCTCAAAAAAAAAGAAAGAGGGAAAGCTCGAACCAACCTGGGAGGGACCTTAGCTATTACCCCTAACGACTGAAACAACAATCCAAACAGCCAAAAAAGGATGGGTCTACCCCTTGGCCAGGAGCAAGACTCCCTCTCTTAAAAAAATAGTAAGCCGGGCCAGGCGCGGTGGCTCACATGTGTAGTCCCAGCATTTTGGGAGGCCAAGGCGGGTGGATCACGAGGTGAAGAGGTCGAGACCATCCTGGTCAACATTGTGAAACCCCGTCTCTACTAAAAATACAAAAAAAATTAGCTGGGCATGGTGGCGCGTGCCTGTAGTCCCAGCTACTTGGGAGGCTGAGGCAGAATTGCCTGAACCCAGGAGGCGGAGGTTGCGGTGAGTCGAGATCGCACCATTGCACTCCAGCCTGGGTAACAAGAGCGAAACTCCGTCTCAAAAAAAAAATAATAATAATAACAATAAGAAGCCGTGCTGCATGGTGGTGCACGCCTGTAATCCCAGCACTGGGAGGCCAAGGTGTGTGGATTGATTGCCTGAGCTCAGGAGTTTGAGACCAGCCTGGGCAACACAGTGAAACCCCATCTCAAATAATAATAATAATAAAGGTCCCAACCCTTGCAAAGTCCTAGATTGTCACTCCAGGACCAACGGCCTCCAAACTGACATTCAAAGGGGTTTAATCTTTTTCTTCCTTTAGCTACCCAAGGACATCTTATCGATGTAACCCGATCACCCTCCCCCCCACAAACAATTACATTTGATGCCTGTCTTGTCATGCCCTGTGGGGATCTCCAAAGTCAGAGACAGCTAGCCTCTTCAGAGAAGTACCTTTGTCCCTCCAGGATAAATTACACTGCCTACAAAACTGACTCTTGCACTGAATGGGCATGAACCTGGCCTTGGTGGTTTTGCTGTACTTGGGGAGATGTTATATAGACTACCAAGTATCAGGGCTAGACCCCCTCAGAGGGGTGTACCACCCTGAAACCCTACCTCCACTGCACCAAGGGAACCACCCCCTCCAATTGCCAATCTCAGCATTGCAGCCGGTACTTACCTCTATTAATACCCTGCCCTACACCCACTTTAGAGCGCTTTTGCAGCCTAGGAGTGGATGTCACCCTCTAGGCTTCTTTGAAATGTGCTTTGTTCCTCCTCCTCTATCTTCCACTGTTACCCCCTCCCCAAACCCACAAAATCAAACCATTTCTCACTTCGTGTCCAGTGACAAAACCAAACTAGCTAGCAGAAGTCAAGGACCTGAAGCAAAGTGTAGCCATAGAAACTGGGTATCCAGTTGTAAATGCAGCCGGGTGCAGTGGCTGGTGCCTGTAATCCACTTTGGGAAAACAAGGCGGGCAGATCATCTGAGGTCAGGAGTTTGAGACCAGCCCGGCCAACATGGTGAAACTCCATCTCTACTAAAAATAAAAAATGAGCTAGGATAGTGGCAGGCACCTGTAGTCCCAGCTACTTGGGAGGCTGAGGCAGAGAATCACTTGAACTGGGGAGGCAGAGGCTACAGTGAGCTGAGATGTCGCCATTGTACTTTAGCCTGGGCAATAGAGTGAGACTCTCAAAAAAAAATTATATATGTATAAATATAAATGCCTGGCTGGAATGGATTAAATATTCCATTTGTACCCTAAATAAAAGCCATTGTTATTGTTATGCTTGTGCAGCGGGCAGGCAAGAAACCCAAACTGCTCCTTTCCCACTTGGATGGGCCAAACACCCAGGCATGGGCTGTGCGGTAGCTCCCTTCCGGCACCCCACAGCCTGGGGAAACAAGATGTGCCACTCTTCACTATTTTCCCCAAAGGTCTGGAGCTCTATGGGACAGCCCCCAAAGGCTGTTTTACTTCCAGCTCTTCGTGCCAGTTTTACCTCAGGTCTCTCATGGCAAGGGGAAATTTTGACATTCCTTGGAAACCTGATGGGATGTAGTGGGCCTAAACATTTTCAAGAGCTAACCAATCAATCGGCCCTAGTCCATCCCTGAGTGGATGCATGGTGGTATTGTGGGGAACCAGTATTGGGTACACTGCCAGGTGACTGGAGTGGCACTTGCGCTCAGATCCAATTGGCCATCCCTTTCACCTTGGCATTTCATCAGCCAGACGGGGAGCCATTAACCTGAAGAAAAAGAGAACCCTCATGGGTCCTTTGATTCCCCGTGTTTACATAGACAGCATTGGAGTCCCACCGCTGTACCAAATGAATTCAAAGCTTGAAACCAAATAGCCTTCGAGTTCGAGTCTATCTTATTCTGGTGGTCCACTATCATATATATTACGATCAGCAGTGATTTGTCAGTGATAGCAGAGATGCTATTGAAGGAAGAGCTGAACAATTAGGCACTACCAACCAGATGGCCTGGGAAAGTAGAATAGCCCTTGACATGATGTTAGCCGGAAAAGGGGGGAGTCTGTATCATGATTGGGGTCCAATGTTGTACTTTTATCCCTAATGAAATAGCCCCCAACAGGACAATCACAAAAGCCTTACAAGGCCTTACCACCCTAGCAAATGAATTAGCCGAAAACTCTGGAAAAGACGACCCCTTTACGGGCCTGATGGAAAGGTGGTTTGGAAAATGGACGGGACTCATGACCTCAATCTTTACCTCCCTTGCCATTGTTGCAGGTGTTCTCATCCTTATGGGCTGCTGTATCATACCTTGTATTCGTGGGTTAACCCAAAGGCTCATAGAAGCAGCTCTCACAAAAACCTTCCCCACGTCTCCACCTAGGTAAGCTCTTGCTCCTAATCAACAAAAACAGCCAAATCCTGTTGAAGAAATTTGAAGAGGAAGAAATACATAAAACAGAAGGGAAATTGTTTGGACAACTAAAGTCCTCTTGAAGACTCAACTTTTTTGGTCCTAAGTTGTAAATCAATCCTACCTCCCCTCCACTTCTGTTTTTCGCAAATCGCGCGTGTACCCTGTTTGGCAGAGTTAATCGGGATCAGCTTAGATGGTGAGGTCTGACCCCAGCCAACAGGGAAGGACACAGAAACAGGAACTGCGTTAGGATTAAAAACGTCCCTCCTCTGGTCGGTGTGCTCTTGCGATTGTAACGAGCAAGCAGCACCCCTCTGCGGAAGTAAAGGTGGCTTGCTGATAAGTTTTCTGTCTAAGTGCGAGTTTCTTTTGGCTACGCCACCGAGCACTGGTTTCAGACATAAGCAAGGGGAGGGATTCCATCAGGGCAGAGGGCTAAAGAAGAGTTTATGCGGCCCAGTGGGTAATGTGTGGAGGGCTCCCCCAACTCGTCTGCTCCAGGGAAAGGGGGTTCAGGAAGGAAGGGAGTTCTTGTCCCTCTACCGCCTGGGTGTCCCTCCACCAGCCTCAGGGGCGTCGCGCCCCCTCCTCACCGCGTCACCCCCGGGTGTGCCTCCTTCCCTCCGTTTCATACCCCTCTCCGGTCGGCGAAGACTTGAGGAGCGGAGAGGGCGGGCCCTCTGACACCGGAACTGGAGTCGTGCGGCATCCGGTTTCCGCAGGGAAGGCTTAGGCGGCTGTCCCAGCCTTCTGGCTTCCGATCCCGTTCCTAGGTTTGTCAGGCTGTGTTCGCTATGGAAGAACCCGAGATGCAGCTGAAGGGGAAGAAAGGTGGTGCGGTCCTCTGGGTGGGACAAGGAGCCCGGGAACTCGCGGAGGGGCGGCCTGAAAAAGGCCGGGCGCGGAGGGACAGGGCGAGGAGCAGTGATTGAATTTCCGTCAATTCTATCAGCTGGGCCGCTGACTAGTTTTGAAACCTGTAGAAAGGTTCGGTGTCTCGTTTTGTCATCTGTAAAATGTGGGGTATAATTACCCGTTCCCCCAGGATTGTTTCAAGAATTCGGTACGTGAGGCTGGGAGTGGTGGCTCACACCTGTAATCCCAGCACTTTGGGCGGCCTGGGCGGGAGGATTGCTTGAGCCCAGGAGTTCTAGGGCTCAAGCGACTCCTGACTCGAGGTCAGGAGTTTGAGACCTGTCTGGGCAACATAATGAGACCTGGTCCCCCGAAAAAGACAAAAATTAGCCGGGCGCTACTCGAGTGGTTGAGGTGGGAGAATCGCTTGAGCCCAGGAGGTCGGGGCTGCAGTGCAATGGGCTACGATCGTGCCACTGCACCCCAGACTGGGCCACAGAGTAAGACCCTGTCTTAAAAAAAAGAAAAAAATCAACAACCTGATGTTTGTAATGCATTGCAAGAATCCCCGGGGCGTGGTAATCGGTATGCTTGTTGTTTCCTTATTTTTCTTTTCCCTTTCTTTCTTTCTTTCTTTTCTTTCTTTTCTTTCTTTTCTTTCTTTCTTTTTCTTTTTCTTTTTCTTTTCTTTCTCCTTCCTTTTTATTTTGAAACAAGGTATCACTCTGTCGCCAGGCCGGGGTGCAGTGGCCTGATCATGGCGGCTCACTGTAGCCTCGACCTCTCGGGCTCAGGCGATCCTCCTGCCTCAGCCTCTTGAGTAGCTGGGACTACAAGCACGCGCCACCACCTTGGGCTAATTCATAAATTGATATTATTATTATTTTTTGAGACGGAGTCGCTCTCTGTCGCCTAGGCTGGAGTGCTGTGGCGTGATCTCGGCTCTGCAACCTCAGCCCCCTGAGTAGCTGGGATTACAGGCACACACCACCACGCCCCCTTAGCTTTTCTGTATTTTTTTTGTAGAAAAGGGGTTTCACCATGTTGTTCAGGCTGGTCTCGAACTCCTGACCTCGAGTGATGCGCCTATCTTGGCCTCCCAAAGTGGTGGCATTACAGGCGTGAGCCACTGCGCCCAGTTAATCCCCTATACTTTAAACCACCTCTAGATTACTCACATATGCAGTACATAATACAGGGCCTACACATCACTTCATTCACATGGATTCAAAGAAGTGCTTAGTTTAGAGCAAATTCAAGTTTTTATTTTTCATTTATTTATTTTTTTTAGAGACAGGGTTTCACCATGTTGGTCAGGCTGGTCCCAAACTCCCAACCTCAGGTGATCCACCTTTTCAGCCTCCCAAAGTGCTGGGATTACAAGCATGAACCACCATGCCCAGCCTCAGGTTTTTATTTATTTTATTTTTTATTTTTTCGAGATGGAGTCTTGCTCTGTCACCCAGGCTGGAGTGCAGTGGTATGATCATGGCTCACTGTAGCCTCTGCCTGTCAGACCCAAGCCATCCTCCCACCTCAGACTCCTGAGTAGCTGGGACTACAGGTGTAGATCACCATGACCAGCATATTTTTGTACTTTTTTGTATGGGCAGAGTTTCACTATGTCTCCCAGATTGTTTTTGAACTCCTGGGCTGAATCCATCTTCCTGCGTTGGCATCCCAAAGTGCTGGGATTATACCCGGCTTGGGTATTTAAATGTAAATTAATTAGACGTACATAAAATTAAAAGTTGAGCTCCTTACTCACTAGCCACACTGCAAGTATTCAGTAGCCGCATGCGTGCCTGTGGTTCCAGCTACTTGGAAAGCTGGGGCAAGAGGAGGATGACGAGCCCAGGAGTCAAGTCCGGCCTCCACAACGTCATGAGACCCTATCTCTAAAAAAACAAATTATGTAATATTTCGATCATCTCAGAAAGTTGTTTTGGGGGCTTTTGTTTGTTTGTTTTAGAGATAAGATCTCATTCTGTCACCCAGGCTAGAGAGCAGTGACGTGATCATGGCTCACCGCAGCCTCAATCTCCTGGGCTCCAGTGATCCTCCTGCCTCAGCCTCCAGAGTAGCTGAGAGTACTGACACGCTCCACCACACCTGGCTAATTTATTTTTAATTTTTTAGAGATGGAGTCTCATGGTATTGCTCAAGCTGGTCTCAAATCATTTATTTTTTATTTATTTATTTTTTGAGACAGTCTTGCTCTATCCCTCAGGCTGGAGTGCAGTGGAACAATCTCCACTCACTGCAACCTCTGCCTCCTGGGTTCAAGCAATTCTCATGCCTCAGCCTCTCAACTAGCTGCGATTACAGGCGTGTGCCACCATGCCCGGCTAATTTTTGTATTTTTAGTAGAGACGGGGTTTCCCATCTGTTGGCCAGGCTGGTCTTGAACTCCTGACCTCATGTGATCTGCCTGCCTCAGCCTCCCAAAGTGTTGGGATTACAGGCATGAGCCACCGCACCCAGCCTTGGCCTCAAATTCTTGTCCTCAAATGATCCTCCTACCTCATCCTCTCTGGATGCAGTGAGAAACTTCTTTTGGGAAGTGCAAGGAAGAGCCAGGCTGGAGGCAAGGAAGGCAGGGAGGTCAGCAGCAGCTGGAACATGCAGGACCTTATGAGCCATGGCAAGAAAAGGGGATTTTATTCTCTGGCAGGTGGGAGCCATGGGAGAGTTTAAAGCAAGGGAGGGCGTAGATGATTTGTGTATTTGGAGTTCACCTCATCTGCTGCATGGAGACTGGACTATTGGCAGGAGGGGAGGCAGGGAGACCAGGGAGAAGGTGGGTCCCGTCCAGGCAGGAGATGGCCTTGCCTGGCTGTGCCTGGATCAGTGGAGGCAGGGTGGTATAGTAGAACAGGTGAAATTAGAACTATCAGGATTTGCTCAAGGATGGGACAAGAAAGGCGGGCCCCGCTGGCTGGCTGGGAATACCATTGTTGAAGCAGACACTGTCATGAGGATTTGTATTCAATTAATTTATCAGGACTGGGCATGGTGGCTCACACCTGTAATCCCAGCACTTTGGGAGGCCGAGGTGGGCAGATCACTTGACATCAGGAGTTTGAGACCAGCCTGGCCAACATGAAGAAACCCTGTCTCAACTAAAAATACAAAAATTAGTCAGGCATGGTGGTGGGTGCCTGTAATCCCAGCTACTTGGGAGGCTGAGGCAGGAGAATCACTTGAACCCGGGAGGTGGAAGTTGCAGTGAGCTGAGATTTTGCCACTGCACTCCAGCTTGGGCAACAGAGCAAGACTCTTGTCTCAAAAACAAAAAAAAATCAAAAAAAAAATATTCATCAGGAGACACCTGCAAGGGAGAAGGGGAAGCAGGGCGGGGCTGGCTGGAGGGGAGGCTGAGTGAGGGGCGACCTCACTCAGGTAAAATCTGCAGATGGAGGCCTCAGGCTGGGCTTGCAGGGGAGCCTGGGGGGATAAGTTAGGCCTCTGGGTTGTTCCAGGGCCCAGCGAGGGACACAGGTTTTCATATCCCTCAGTAGTGAGTGGCAGCTCAGGGCCTCCCGGATGTGAACTTCCAGGCACTTTCAGCTCCTGTGGGCATGCTCTGAAGAAGAGTCCCGGGTGTGGTCATGGGGGCAAAAGGAATGCCAGGGAGTGCTGTGGGCAGCAGTGTCCACTGCCAGCGGGATTGGGAGGGAAAGATGAGAAGAGTTCACTGGGGGCCGGGCACAGTGGCTCATGCCTGTAATCCCAGCACTTTGGGAGGCCGAGGCAGGTGGATCACTTGAGGCCAAGAGTTCAGGACCAGCCTGAGCAACATAGCAAGGCCTTGTCTCTGTTAAATAATGAAAAAAAACTAGCCAGGCATGATGGTTCGCACCTGTAGTTCTAGCTCCACAGGAGGCTGAGATGGGACGATGGCTTGAGGCTGGGAGTTTTGAGCCTGCAGTGAGCCGTGATCGCGCCACTGCACTCCAGACTGAGCAACAGAGCGAGACTCTGTCTCTAAAAAAATATTCACTCCTTATGAACTCATCATTCATTTTGTCCTCTCATTAATGTCCTCTTTTTATTTTTTGAGATGGAATCTCGCTCTTGTTGCCCAGGCTGGAGTGCAATGGCGCGATCTCAGCTCACTGCAACCTCCAACTCCCGGGTTCAAGCAATTCTCCTGCCTCAGCCTCCTGAGTAGCTGGGATTCCTGGCACCTGCCACCATGGCCAGTTAATTTTTGTATTTTTTTTAGTAAAGATGGGGTTTCACCGTGTTGGTCAGGCTGGTCTCGAACTCCTGATTTCAGATGATCCACCCACCTCAGCCTCCCAAAGTGCTGGGATTACAGGCATGAGCCACTGCGCCCAGCATTTTTTTTTTTTTTTGAGACAGAGTTTTGCTCTTATTGCCCAGACTGGAGTGCAGTGACGCAATCTTGGCTCACCACAATCTCTGCCTCCTGTGTTCAAGTGATTCTGCTGTCTCAGCCTCCCGAGTAGCTCGGATTACAGGCACCACCACACTCAGCTAATTTTGTATGTTTTAATAGAGACAAGGATCCTCCATGTTGGTCAGGCTAGTCTCGAACTCCTGACCTCAGGAGATCTGCCCTCATCAGCCTTCCAAAGTGCTGGGATTACAGGCATGAACCACCATGTCTGGCCTAATTTTTGTATTTTTACTAGAGACGGGGTTTCACATGTTGGCCTGGCTGGTCTCGAACTCCTGACCTCAGGTGATCCGCCTACCTTGGCCTCCCAAAATGTTAGGATTATAGACGTGAGCCACTGTGCCTGGCCTCATTAATGTCCTTTTGAGTGAGCCCTGCTGGAACTATTTCCTCCAGCCTGTCACAGGCCAGGGTTGATCTAGCTGCCGAGGGACACGCCAGATGCCCCGTCTGCTCTGGCTGGGCTCAACACTGAAGCAACTAGGAGACTTACACTTTGTCCCCCTATGCCCACCTCACCCCTGCCACCTATGGACCCTGGATCCAGTCACGGACAAGTTCACTGAGAGTGTCTACGTCCTGGCCAACGAGCCATCCGTGGCCCTGTACCGGCTGCAGGAGCACGTGCGCCGCTCCCTCCCCGAGCTGGCCCAACACAAGGTGAGCTGGGGCCTGTCGGAAGGAGCAGGGGCTGTCAGGGCAGGAGCCAAGGCGGGGACACCAGCAAGGAGGCACGTGGTGTTATAGCCAGGCCAGAGGCGTGGCGGATAAATGTGGGGTAGATTTTGAAGGAGGTGGCTAGATGTGTGTATGAGTTTATTCTCATGCTGGGTAATTTATATAGGAAGGAGGTGTAATTGACTCACAGTTCCACAGGGCTGGGGAGGCCTCAGGAGACTTCCAGTTTGGCAAAAGCAGAAGCAAACATGTGCTTCCTTACATGGCGGCAGGAAGGAGAAGTATGAGAGCCCAGCAAAGGGGGAGGCCCCTTATTAAAACCACAAGATCTTGTGAGAACTCACAATCAGGAGAACAGGATGGGGACCTGACTCAGTGATTCAGTTTTCTCTACCTGGTGCCTCCCACGACATATGGGGATTATGGGAACTATAAGGTGAGATTTGGGTGGGGACACAGCCAAACCATACCATTCTGTAATAGTTATGACCTGCATGGTGAGGAAGCAGCTGTCTGAAGATCTAAGGGAAGGATGTGCCAGGCAGGGGGAAATGTTTGTGCAAAGGTCCTGAGGCATGGTGGCCAGGTGTCCACAGAAAGCCCAGACCTGTGACAGAAGGGAACTGCAGGAGGAAAAGTCTCTGCATCCACCATGAGGACTCAGGGGAGCCCCAGCCAAGAGAGGTGGGAGGAGGGCCCTCTAGGTGGAGGTGGCCTCCCTTGCCAAACATGTCATGCACCCCCTACAGGCAGATATGCAGCGTTGGGAGGAGCAGAGCCAGGGAGCCATCTACACCGTGGAGTACGCCTGCAGGTGAGCGTCACAGCCTCCCCGCTACAGGGCCACCCCTCCCCTGCTCTGGCCTCCTGGGCATCCCAGCCAGCTGCCCAGTAAGCGCCGCTCTGCCTAGCCTACCCGAGTGGGTGTATGTGATCTGTACCACCATTCATCAGGCCTGAGTCCCAGGTAAGTCTCTTCCCTGCACTGAGCCCCTCCCCAGCTGTCACAGGAGAGAGGGATAATGATTCTGGGAGATGCCTCTGGGGACCAGCATTTCTCTCCCACAGCCAGGACCACAGATGGGCCAGTGGGGTGGACGGCAGCCAGGGGCAAACCCAAAGCACAGATATGGCTGTTTATTTTGAAAAAAAAATTTTTTTTTAGATGGAGTCTTGCCCCATCGCCCAGGCTGGAGTTCAGTGGCACCATCTCTGCTCACTGCAGCCTCTGATCCTTGGTTCAAGCAATTCTCCTGCCTCACCCTCCCGAGTAGCTGGGATTATAGGTGTGTGCCACCATGCCCAGCTAATTTTTGTATTTTTAGTAGAGACTGGGTTTCACCATGTTGGCCAGGCTGATCTTGAACTCCTGACCTCAGATGATCCACCCATCTCAGCCTCCCAAAGTGCTGTGATTACAGGTGTGAACCACTGTGCCCAGCTTTTTTTTTTTTTTTTTGAGACAGAGTCTCACTCTGTTGCCCAGGCTGGAGTGCAGTGGCACGATCTCTGCTTACTGCAGCCTCCCATTCTCAGGCTCAGGGGATTATCCCACTTTAGCCTCCCAAGTAGCTAGGGCTACAAGTGCCTGTCTCCACGCCCAGCTAATTTTTATATTTTTAGTTGAGACGGGGTTTCACCCATGTTAGCCAGGCTGTTCTCAAACTCCCGACCACAGGTGATCCACCCACCTCAACCTCCCAAAGTGCTGGGATTACAGGCGTGAGCCACGGCACCCGGCCAGGGTTTCTTTTTGTCACTGAACCCTTGCCTTCCATTCCCAAGCCTTATTCCAGTTGCCTTGGGTTGCCCAGTCGGCCTTGGAAGTTCCTGGACTTTGCTTAGTTGTTCTGTTTGCCCCCGACATGGGCTGTGGGCCATTTTGGTGGTGGCTGGTAGTGGCTGGTGGTGGCTGAGCAGTGCTCCCAGCAGTTCTGCTGGTGTGTTACTGTTTGGTTGTGTGGGCGAAGGTGCCTAGACAGGAAATCCTGCTGCTGGGGCAGCGTTCTGCCATTGGCAGCTTTGGTCCCCCTTGGTGGGACAAAGGGTGTCCAGACAGACTGTATCTTCCTTAGCTCAAGGAAAAGAAAAGAAATAGGAGTTTCTAGAGCTGGGCCTGGTGGTGTATCCCTGTAGTTCCAGCTACTCAAGAGGCTGAGGTGGGATGATGCCTTGAAAGGAGTTTAGGGCCGGATGTAGTGGCTCATGCCTGTAATCCCAGCACTTTGGGAGGCCAACACCTGAGGTCGGGAGTTCAAGACCAGCCTAGCCAACATGGTGAAACCCCATCTCTACTAAAAATAAAAAAATTAGTCAGGCATGGTGGCACATACCTGTAATCCCAGGTACTCGGAAGGCTGAGGCAGGAGAATTGCTTGAATCCGGGAGGTAGAGGTTGCAGTGAGCCGAGATTGCACCATTGCACTCCAGCCTGGGCAACGAGTGAAACCTCAAATCAGAACAAAACAAGAAAGGAGTTGAGGGCCAGCCTGGGTGATAGTAAGACCCCCCCTCTAACAAAAAAATGAAATATGGCTGGGTGCGGTGGCTTACCCCTGTACTCCCAGCCCTTTGGAAGGCCAAGGTGGATGGATCGCTAGAGCCCAGGAGTTTGGGACCAGCCTGGACAACCTGGTGAAACCCTGTTTCTACAAAAAATACAAAAACTAGCCAAGCCTTGTGGCACACACCTTTAGTCCCAGTTATTTGGGAGGCTGAGGTGGGAGGATCGTTTAAGCCTGGGAGGTTGAGGCTGTAGTGAGCAGAGACTGCACCACTGCACTCCAGCTTGGGCAACAGAACAAGACCCTGTTTAAAAAAACAAAACAAAAAAACACCTGTGCTTTCTTCTGCTTCCTGTGCCTGTGCCGTCTAATCCAGGAACCTAGGCCATGGGCGGCTAAGCACTCGTGAAAATGAAATGAGGCTGGGCGCAGTGACTCACCTGTAGTCCCAGCACTTTAGGAGGCTAAGCTGGGATAATCACTTGTGGCCAGGAGTTGAGACCAGCCTGGCCAACAAGGTGAAACTCTATCCCTACTTAAAATACAAAAATTAGCCAGGCGTGGTGGCGGGCACTTGTAAATCCCAGCTACTTGGGAGGCTGTGGCAGGAGAATCACTTGAACCTGGGAGGTAGAGGTTGCTGTGAGCCAAGATTGTGCCCAGCCTGGGCGACAGAGTGAGACTCTGTCTCAAAAAAAAAAAATTGGCTGGGCGCGGTGGCTCAAGCCTATAATCCCAGCACTTTGAGAGGCCGAGGCGGGTGGATCACGAGGTCAGGAGATTGAGACCATCCTGGTCAACAACCCCGTCTCTACAAAAATACAAAAATTAGCTGGGCATGGTGGCATGTGCCTGTAGTCCCAGCTACTCGGGAGGCTGAGGCAGGAGAATTGCCTGAACCCGGGAGGTGGAGGTTGCGGTGAGCCGAGATCGCGCCATTGCACTCCAGCCTGGGTAACAAGAGCAAAACTCCATCTCAAAAAAAAGAAAATGAAAAAATGAAATGCTCAACTCCCAAGTCTCACTAGCTACATTCCTAGTGCCTCTCAGCCAACTCAGTGGATAAAGGACATTTTCATCACCAGTTGCCCCAGACATCAGTGGGCTTGGTGGGAGGCCAGCCCGCATTTGTCTTTAGTGAAATATGTATTTTTAAAATTAAATTAATTATTTATTTTTTTAAATTTTTTGAGACGGAGTCTCACTCTGTTGCCTAGGCTGGAGTGCAATGGCGTGATCTTGGCTCACTGCAGCCTCCGCCTCTTGGGTTCAAGTGATTCTCCTGCCTTAGCCTCCTAAGTAGCTGGTCTTACAGGTGCCCACCACGCCCCAGCTAATTTTTTTGTATTTTTAGTAGAGACGTGGTTTTACCATGCTGGCCAGGCTGGTCTCAAAGGTCTGACCTTGTGATCTACCCGCTTCAGCCTCCCAAAGTGCTGGGATTACAGGCGTGAGCCATCGTGCCTGGCCCCAGATTTTTCTTTTTAAGAGATGGGGTTGGTGGGGTGTGGTGGCTGATACCTGTAATCCCAGCACTTTGGGAGACCAAGGTGGGCAGATCACAAGGTCAGGAGATCGAGACCATCTGGCTAACATGGTGAAACCCTGTCTCTATTAAAAATACAAAAAATTAGTCAGGCGTGGTTGCACATGCCTGTAGTCCCAGATACTTGGGAGGCTGAGGCAGGAGAATTGCTTCAACCTGGGAAGTGGAAGTTGCAATGAGCTGAGATCGTGTCACTGCACTCCAGCCTGGGTGACAGAGGAAAACTCTTGTCTCAAAAAAAAAAAGAGAGAGAGAGATGGGGTCTCGCCATGTTGCCCAAGCTAGTCTCAACCTCCTGGGCTCAAGCCATCATCTTGCCTTGGCCTCTTGAGTAGCTGGGATTACAGGTGTGAACCACAGTGTCTGTCCGGGAGAGATACTGCTTTTTCTTTTGTGTTTTACACCCTCATATCCGCAGTAATGGCTGAGATACTTTTTATGGCATCTTTATACACTGATACCTCCTTCAAAACGTTAGATGGTGGCAGTGGAGTCAGTTTTCTTTCCATCGTGTGCTGTGTTGCATAGTTGCCATCTAGTCGCAGCAGGGAAATCTAAAGGGGAAGCCCACCGTGAGTCCTCAGGGAAGCCCACAGCATCCCTGAGGTACCCACTGAGTTCTGGTGGTGACCTCTAGTGCTGGGGTGTGGAACACTTACCTGCAGGTTTGGGGCGCTGATCAGGCCTGTCTTTCCATTTCAGCGCCGTGAAGAACCTGGTGGACAGCAGCGTCTACTTCCGCAGCGTGGAGGGTCTGCTCAAACAGGCCATCAGCATCCGGGACCATATGAATGCCAGTGCCCAGGGCCACAGGTAGCTCCTGGGACCACCTGCCCCCGCTGCCACTCTCAGCCGCAAGGACCGTCTCTCAGCTGTGCTAGGAAACGCTGCTTCTTGTTTATTAAGAAAACGTTCTCTTTCCTCTTGTCCTGGTGTCTGGTGACCTCCTCTTGTCCTTGGTGTCTATAACTAGAGAATTCAGTCACCAAGTACTCAGGTCCTGAGCTTTGCTGTGTGTCTGACCCTGGGCTGGCTGCTGGGGACATAGCAGTGACCAGGACAGATGGGCTCACAGGGAGCCATACAGCAACCAGGTACACAGCAGATAAGAGCATGTCAGATGTCCTGGGAAGAATGCCTCAGGGCCCCTCCTAGGAGGTGGTGTGAGTGACACACAGACGATTGGGGGCAGAGGGAGTTCCACTTGAGGCAGTGGTGAGGACAGACGCCCTGGGGCTGGGTTCCCTGGGAGTGTTCGGGAAGCACTGAGAAGGCTTCTGTGGCTGGAGTGGGCCAACCGGGGGAGATGGGCCAGGGAGATGGCAGGGGCCTCTCTCCACCCTGTCCCAGGACCCAGAGCTGAGGGATGCTTCGAGCTGAGTACCAGGGTTCTGAAAACGAAAAGCACTCACAGTCCTTGAAGACTGGAGAGAGAGTTTTTAGGATTGGCCCTTCTTTTTGTTTTTTGTTGGCATTATAATTTAATAAACATGCTTACGAACACGCACATACCGGGAGCAGGAATGTTACCTTGGGCTGCGTCTGGCTCCCACAGATTGGGGTTCTGGCTGGTCTATCCCCTGCTGTGCATTTGGAAAGAAAGCATCTGTGTTGCTTAACTAAGACGCAAGAATTGGCAAAAACAAGACTTGAGTGTGTGTAAGAATGGGGGCATAGCAATCTGCCCTCAAAGGGTAGCATGATAGGGGTTTATCTGGGCTCTTTTGCATCTGAAGAGTGGCTTCTGGCTCCTCTGCCGCGGGCTGATGTTGGCAGTTGGAACTAAACTTCACTGAAAAGCCATAGCTCTTAATGTCAACTCAGGGTTTCCAAAAGTGCTGTCACATGCCCTGCTTGTGCTCACTGTTGCAGAAACGCAACATGCTCTTGAAGGACGTTAGTAGCAGCTTGAGTTGCTATTAATACCTCTTTGTAAGCCCTGTAGGTTCAGAGTGCCCAGTCTTGTGTGAGTGAGTCCCAGATACGGCCTCTGGAGTGACTCGTCCCACTTTTTAAAAAGTACATATATATTTTTTTTTGAATAGAAACTGTGTCACAATACAATGCCCGGGCTGGTCTCGAATTCCTGGCCCAAGTAATCCGCTCACCTCAGCCTCCCAAAGTGCTGTATTAGAGGCATGAGCCACCGTGCCCAGCCATTTGTCCCCTTTTTTTTCAAGACAGAGTCTCACTCTGTTGCCCAGGCTGGAGTGCAATGGTGCGATCTTGGCTCACTGCAACCTCTACCTCCTGGGTTCAAGTGATTCTGTACCTAAGTCTCCTGAGTAGCTGGGATTACAGATACACACCACCCAGCTAATTTTCCTATTTTTAGTAGAGACAGAGTTTCACCATGTTGGTTGGGCTGGTCTCGAACTCCTGACCTCAGGTGATCACCTGCCTCAGCTGAGATTATAGGCATGAACCACCGCGCCCAGCCCACTCACCCCACTTTTAAGGAGGAATACCGGAATCTCAAGCCAGAGGTCTTCCAAGACCAGAGTGTCACCCAAACATGCACTCCAGCCAGCTGAGGAGGCCTTGTGGCCTCTGACCTTGGCCTCATGTATGCTGCCCATGTTTCCTTTCAGCCCCGAGGAACCACCCCCGCCCTCCTCAGCCTGATCCTGGAAGACACTTGGGGCTCCCCCGACCCAGGTCAGTGCCAAGGGTAGCTACGAGCCTCTCTCTGCTCTGAACTAACCAACCCACCCGCTTGGCAGCCAGCTAGACACCTGTCTATCTAACTTAGGTTTCTCAACTTGGGCTTTCTCACTGGGTTTGTAGGATGGTTTCGGAGGTGGCAGGTGGAGGGTGTCTGCAGGTCCAGTATGTTTTACCCTGCTGCTCAGGGACCGTGGCAGCCCATGTCTCCCACTCTCTCTGCCACCTTCCTCCCCCTTTTTTAGGCCATAGGCCCTTTGCCAGTCCCAGAGATTTCCAGCCCCCGAGACAGAGAGGAGAGCCCACATTTCCTCTGTCCTACCACGTGCCAGCAGCCTGCTTTACCCACGCACAGTCTTAGGCAGAGCCTGACATGGCAGTTACCCACCCATCTCTGGGACCGCCCCCGCCGATCCACTGCCTACCTGTTGTGTGACTGAGTAAACTCACTCCCTCTCTGGTCCCTGCGTTTCCCTTCAGTAAAGGTGGCTCATCAGGTCCCTGAGAGGGTGCAGGGTACAGAGACAAATGTACTTCGGTGCAGTGGCTATTGCTGCGTAACACAGCGTCCCAAAACTCAGTGGTGGTTTACAGCCCCAGTAATTAACCTACTCATGATTCTGCACTTTGGGCTAGGCTCAGCTGGGCGGTTCTGCTGCTCTCCCTGGGGGTCACCGTGGGTGCTCATGGGAGCTCAGCTGCAGCTGCCTAGTCAGAGGGAGCCCTCACCAGGGCTGTTGGCAGCAGGGGTCAAGTTTTCCTTGTGGCCTCTCCAGCAGGCCAGCCGGGGTTTCTTCTGGTGGCTGGGAGCCCAGAGGGCAGCTCCCATGCAGAGTGCCACTTTCACATTTGTGGGTGGCCCATTGGTTGAAGCCAGTCACGTGGCCAGGCCCAGGACCAGATGGGAGAGGACCACACAAGCGCAGTATGAGCCCTGGGAGGTGCGGCTGACCATGCTTGGAGAGTGTGGTGCCAGCAAAGACCTGACGTGTCATCATTCTGTATCTGTGATGGGCAGATGCAGGCAGTTCCAAGGGGCACCAGGGACTTACCAAGCCCCTGCCTGTTGGCCAGTCACTGTGATTGTCCTTGGTGCCATGGAGGTCCTCTCAGAGGTCAAGGGGAGGCAGGTAGAGACAGAGCCTCTGCAGGCCCTCCAAGCTGTGGCCCCAGAGCCCCGAGGCAGCTGAGTTCTTGTGTTCAGTCAGACAGCACTTAGCGGGCACTGCAGTCAATCAGAGAGCACTTACTGGACACCGTAGGCAGCAAGCATTTATTGAGCACCTCTGGCAATTGATGAACGCTTCCTGAGCACCTGCTCACGGCAGGCATAGCTCTGAGTGTGGAGTGGTGAGGAATGCCACAGGCTAAGTGGTGGCCTGGGAGCTTCCCAGGGGGGCTGAAGCAGGAGGGGCTGCCTGAGGGGGTCAGCAGCCCACCCCAGTGCCCTACGAAGCCCTGCCCACACCCCCAACCCAGCCTCTGTCTCCCCAGTCCCATCCCCCACACCCTGGTCCCTCCCACTTTGTGCCTCAAGGACACTGCCCCTCTGCCCTCCTCACTCCCCAGCGTCTGCTGTCCCCTCCGCTGCTGCTCCCAAAAGGATTGCTCTGTGTCTCATCCTGTCCCTGTGGAGTCCCTCTCCTCTCCCCAGAACTGCCAGCCTCATGCCCCCTCTCAGAGCTTTTTTTTCTTTTTTCTTTTTTTTGAAATGGAGTCTTGCTCTGTCACCCAGGCTGGAGTGCAGTGGTGCAATCTCAGCTCACTGCAAATTCTGCCTCCTGGCAGATTCTCTTGCTTCAGCCTCCCGAGTAGCTGGGACTATAGGTGCCCGCCACCTTCCTGGACTAATTTTTGTATTTTTAGTAGAGGCAGAGTTTCACCACGTTGGTCAGGCTGGTCTCAAACTCCGGACCTCAGGTGATCTGCCTGCCTCAGCCTCCTAGAGTCCTGGGACTACAGGCGTGAGCCACCACAGCCGGCCTCAGAGCCTCTCATTCCCACTTTTTCCCCAAAACTGCACCCCTTGGGGTCATCAGCGACCTTCACAGGGTCCCAAACAGTGCCCCATTTTACAGAAGAGGAAACCAAGGCCCCGAGAGGTGAGGCAGCCAACCCAGGATCACCACCCACACCCAGAAGTGCCAGGATTCCCACCCAGACCCTGCCACCAAGCTCCACCTTATCTTGGCCCAGTTTCACCCCTCAGGTGCCACCTCATGCCCTGGCTCCATCTCAGACAACCCTGACCCTCGCCCCTGCTCCCCAGCCTAACCAAAGCTGGGCCAGGCAGACACTGAAGACTGAGCAGGTGCGGCCAGCACCTTTGTCCTGCTCTCACCTGGAACCTCCGGGCCCCCAACAGCCCTTGCACCAATGACTGCCATCAAAATAATCCTGACTATACACCCACCATGTCCCCAGCCCTGGGCTAAAGTCTTCGCAGGGATCATCTCATTTCATCCCCAGACAGCCCCAAAAGGCAGTCTCACCCCAAATACAGATGGACAGAGAGGCTCTGCCAGGCATGGTGTTTGGCACCTGTAATCCCAGCTACTCAGGAGGTTGAGGCATGAGAATCACTTGAACCCAGGAAGCAGAAGTTCCAGTGAGCCAAGATGGCGCCACTGCACTCCAACCTGGGCGACAGAGTGAGACTTCGAGCCCCTGCCCCTGCCCCCACCAACAAAAACAATAAGGACACAGCCAGAGAAGAGCAGCCCCGGGCCTGGTGTGTTTCTAGTCCTGCCTGCCTCTGATGCACGTGTGATGCAGGCCTGGCACCGGCCCTCTCTGCATTTCCTTTTATTTTCCTTTCTTTTTTTAAAAAAATTATTTATTTATTTATTTGATAAAGATGGGGTTTCACTATGATGGCCAGGCTGGTCTTGAACTCCTGACCTGAGGTGATCCACCCACCTCGGCCTCCCAAAGTGCTAGGATTACAGGTGTAAGCCACCGTGCCCGGCCTATTTTCCTTTCTTTCTTTCCCTTTCCTTCTTTCCTCTCTTGCGCTCTCTCACTCTGTCACCCAGGCTGGAGTGCAGTGGCACGATCTCGGCTCACTGCAACCTCTGCCTCCCTGTCTCAAGTGATCCTCCTGCCTCAGCCTCCCCTGTAGCTGGGCCTACAGGTTCACACCACCACTGCCAGCTAATTTTTTGTATTTTTTGTAGAGACAAGGTTTCATCATGTTGGCCAGCTCAAATCATCCCCCTGCCTCAGCCTCCCAAAGTGCTGGGATGACAGCCCTGAGCCACCGCACCCGGCCTTAGTTCTCCTTTTGTTCATCTGGATAAGGAAGGCTGGACTGTACCTTCTCTACAGGCTAAGCTGGACCCTCACAGGTCCACCTTCCCACCTTGCATTCTGCCCTGAGCAGCAACGCTCAGGCCACGTGGAGAAGCCACCCCTAGTTGCAGGGGTGGATGCGGCACCTCGGCCTGGCCAATCAGAGCTGCCGGTGTCCTAGGTCCCAGTGACTGGTTCAAGTTGGAACCAGTGGCCCAACGAGAGGCCTTTCCTGGGAGTTCTGCCAGGAACATGGTGGTGGGGGGCGGGGGGTGGACCTAAGAACCTTGCCTGGGGCCCTGGATCCAGCTGTACCTGACACTAGCCAATTTCATTTCAATTCTTCAGTTTCATCGACCTCTAAAATACGATTTTTGCCAAAACGGCTTTGAGTCCGCCTCTGCTGCTGTTTGCAGAAGGGCCTGCACTGACCGCTGTGAATGCCAAGCCTGGGTGACCAGGCCTCCACAGGTTATGCATCTGCAGTGCCAGCTGTATGCCAACACGGCGTTACCCCAGAATCCCTTGTTTCAGTACAGTGTATTAGGGAGCTCAGATGGGGTTGTTTGGGGTTGAGACAGGGCCCAGTCCCACTGCTCTGGGGTTACTCAGCTTGGTGCTGTGGGGTGGTTGCTGGAGATGGGTGGGAAAAGCAGGGGTGTGCCGAGGGGAGATGGCATCCTGCTGGGGCATCAGGCCTGTCAAGGCGTTTGACGGCCTGGAAAGGGGGTTCAGCCCTGCCTCTCCTCCTCCTAGGGCATACTTGGGAGACTCTGTGCTACTGTCCTCCTTCTCCACCATTCCACTCAGCTTGGGAATTGGAGGAGCCCAGAGCCAACCCATTTGGGACCCTGATTGGTGTGTGACCTCCAGAGTCCTTTTCCCTTCTTACTTGCTCTGAAGATACCTCTCAGTGTCCATCTGCCCTCCAGGCGACCATTTATCCAGCAAATGCTGACTGGTATTTGTGAGCCAGACAGGCCAGCCCTGTCTTGCTCAGACCTGCAGGAGAAGCTGGCAGCAGAATGGGATTATCACCTCCCTCCCAGCACCTGCCTAGGACAACTGGGGCTGGGGGTGAGGGAGGCAGGCATCAGGGGCCCCAGACCCTTCTAAGGCTCCAAGTCACTCGTAGCCCTCGCTGGGTGCGACCTCAACCAGTGACTAACAGTCTTGTCTCTCTATTGCCAGGCTGGAGTGCAGTGGTGTGATCTTGGCTCACTCACCTCTGCAGCATGGGTTCAAGCAATTCTCCTGCCTCAGCCTCCCGAGTAACCGGGATTAGAGGCACCTGCCACCGTGCCCAGCTAATTTGTAGTTTTAGTGGAGACAGGGGTTTCACCATCTTGGCCAGGCTAGTCTTGAACTCCTGACTTCGTGCTCCACCTGCCTCAGCCTCCCAAATTGCTGGGATTACAGGTGTGAGCCACCTCACCTGGCCCAGTCATCTTTCTTAAAAGGGGTCTAAGCCAGATATGGTGGCTCACACCTGTAATCCCAGCACTTTGGAAGGCTGAGGTGGGCAGATCACCTGAAGTCAGGAGTTCAAAACCAGCCTGGCCAACATGGTGAAACCCTGCCTACCATAAATATAAAAAATTAGCTGGATGTGGTGGTGGGCACCTATAATCCCAGCTACTTGGGAAGCTGAGGCAGGAGAATTGCTTGAACCTGGGAGGCGGAGGTTACAGTGAGCCGAGATCAAGCCACTGCACTCTGACCTGGGTGACAAAGCGAGACTCTGTCTCAAAAAATAATAATAGTCTGGGTATGGTGGCTCATGCAGTAATCCCAGCACTTTGGGAGGTTGAGGTGGGTGGATCACCTGAGGTCTGGAGTTCGAGACCAGCCTGACCAATATGGTGAAACCCCGTCTCTACTAAAAATACAAAATTAGCCAGGCGTGGTGGCACATACCTGTAATCCCAGCTACTTAGGAGGCTGAGGCAGGAGAATCGCTTGAACCCTGGAGGCCAAAGTTTCAATGAGCTGAGATCGTGCCATTGCACTCCAGCTTGGGCAACAAGAGCGAAACTGTGTCTAAAAAAACAATTACAAATAATAAATAAATAAAAGATGTCTGATCAGGACTTTGGGCTGTCAGACACTTCATCACCCTGAGTCCAAGGGCTCGTGGGAACGCTGGTTAATTTGCATCTCATTTGCACGCTCCATTTGCCCTTTTTGCCTGGAGGGCGTCCCGCCTGCTGTGGCCGCCAGGGGGCGCAAGAGGCAAAGCGTTGGCGGGAAGCTCAGCCTCCGGTCATTGTCTGCAGTCCTGTCTGGCCCTGGTGGGCACACTGTGACCCTCCATCCTTTTTCACCCTAAATGCCCTTGCTCCCACTTTTCAGAGAGTGAACGGAGGTTCTGAGAGGCCAGAGGGCTTTGAGAACGAGCGCTCACAGCCTCCCTTGTCAGGGTGGAGGGCAAGGGCACTCCTAGAGCTTGCTCATTAGCATTTACTGACCAGGCATGGTGGCTCACACCTGTAATCACAGCACTTTGGGAGGCCGAGGTTGGCGGATCACTTGACGTCAGGAGTTCGAATCCGCCTAGCCAACATGGTGAAACCTCATCTCTACTGAAAGTACAAAAATTAGCTGGGTGTGGTGCACACCGGTAATCCCAGCTGCTCTGGAAGCTGAGGCAGGAGAATCGCTTGAGCCTGGGAGGTGGAGGTTGCAGAGAGCCAAGATTATGCCACTGCACTGCAGCCTGGGTGACAGAGGTAGACTCTGTTTCAAAAAAAAAAAAAAAAACCCAAAAACCAGCCAGCATGGTGGCTCACGCCTGTAATCCCAGCACTTTGGGAGGCTGAGGCAGGTGGATCATGAGGTCAGGAGATTGAGACCATCCTGGCCAACATGGTGAAACCCTGTCTCTACTAAAAATACAAAAATTAGCTGGCTGTGGTGGCGCACGCCAGTAATCCCAGCTACTCGGGCGGCTGAGGCAGGAGAATGGCTTGAACCCGGGAGGTGGAGATTGCAACGAGCCAAGATCGTACCACTACACTCCAGCCTGGCCACAGAGCAAGACTCCCATCCCCAAAAAATTATCGTGTTTACTCCTGGCAGGACTCCAGAGATAGGTGGGCAGCTAGACGAGAGATAGCTCTCTGTGCCATGGGGCATCCAAACAAGTGTGCAGTGCTCATAAGGCTAGAGGTCACCCAGAAGGGATCCCAACCCTGGTCTGCGGATGGGGTAGAGACCCATAGAGGGCAGCGACCTGCCCCTGCTCTGTCCACAATGTTCAGGACGAGAATCAGACTTCCACTGGGTTTTGTCCTTAGCCCTTGGTCTGAGTCCTGGTTTTTATTTCAGACCTGCTTTGGGTTCCTAGAGGGTCCTGCACACTCAGGCCCCTGGAAAGCCTCTTTTTAGCCCTGTCGTATCCCTGAACAAGGCTTCTGGGTGCCCCAGGCTTGGCCCCCACTCTGATTTTCACTGCTTACACCTTCCTGGGGATTCGCCAGTTCTTCAAGAAACCCATGGAGGCAGTGCGCAGAGGCTCACCCCCGTAATCCCAGTGCTTGGAGACTAAGGCAGGAGGATCACTTGAGCCCAGGAGTTTAAGGCTGCGGGGAGCCATGCTTGCACCACTGCACTCCCGCCTGGGCAACAGACCAACTGCATCTAAAAATGAAAGAGGCTGGGCGTGGTGGCTCACGCCTGTAATCTCAGAACTTTGTGGGGCCAAGGCAGGTGGATCATGAGGTCAGGAGTTTGAGACCAGCCTGACCAATATGGTGAAACCCTATCTCTACTAAAAATACAAAAAGTTAGCTGGATGTGGTGGCATGTGTCTGTAGTCCCAGCTGCTCAGGAGGCTGAGGCAGGAGAATTGCTTGAACCTGGTAGGCGGAGGTTGCAGTGAGCCGAGATCGAGCACTCCAGCCTGGGCGACAGAGCAAGACTCTGTCTCAAAAAAAAAAAAAAAGAAAGAAACCCATGGAGACACCCTTTGGTGCCACCATGCACTGGGCCAGGGCCCAGGGAACTCCCAGGCTGGGGGAGACATAGGCAGGCACACACTCTACCCCACCCCCTGGGTCAGTGCTAAGCTGGAAGAAAGGATGGGGAGGTCGAAGGACCTCAAGTGGTAAGAGGATGGGAACGCTTTTGGAGGAGGGAACTTTGTAGATGAGCCTTGAGGGCTGCTATTATCCCCAATTCATTTTTTTTTTTTTTTTTTGAGACAAGAGACTTGCTCTGTCGCCCAGGCTGGAGTGCAGTGGTGTGATCTTGGTTCACTGCACCCTCCTTCTCCCAGGTTCAAGCGATTCTCCTACCTCAGCCTCTTGAGTAGCTGGAATTACAGGCGTGTGTCACCATGCCTGGCTAATTTTTGTATTTTTAGTAGAGATGGGGTTTCACCATGTTGGCCAGGCGGGTCTCGAGCTCCTGGCCTCAAGTGGTTCACCCATTTGGCCTCCCAAAATACTGGGATTATAGGCGTGAGCCACCGTGCCTGGCCTATGCGCACTTTTCACATGAGCAAAGAGGCCCTGAGGGTGCAGTGACCATCCTGAGGTCACACAGTGAGGGGGCAGCACAACTGGGAGGGGGACGCAGGTTTATTTAACCTTGGGGGCCCTCCCTACCCACTGGGCCACACATTCTTGCCATGGAAGGTCAAAGCCTTCCCCTGGGAGAGGGGAGAGGAAGGGAGACAGAGCTAGGCAGCTTCTCCTCCTACCCCAGCCTCCTCCTCCATCCATCCTCCACCTGCTGCCTCCCCCATCTCCCAGCCCCTTCCCAGGTCACCCTTCTCCCTTGCCACCCACTCTGGCCCCTTCTATCCTTTCCTCCCCACAGCTTTGCCCTCTACCCTTCAACCTCTTACTCTAGCAAATAAGGGTGTCCCTTCATC